TGTTTGTGTGTCAGGGATGGGCACGTTTGTTCAGGATCCAGGAGCCGGTATATCGAGAGTTTTTGCTGGAGTTCTATGCTACAGTTTCCTATGATCCTGGGAAGCCACTCAATGACAGGACAGCCTTTGCTTTCAGACTGGGAGGAGTGAGCCGGGAATGCAGCGTGATAGAGCTTGCTACTCGGGTGGGTATTTACACAGCCGATGAGACAAGGAGTGTCCACTTCCCGACATTTCTTGCTGACTGTCTCACGGAGCGGCCGGAGGAACTACAATGAGAACACTTTTTGGGCCGAGATTATGGGAGGAATTATACACCATCTACCGCTCGAGGGGGATGATTCGGTCTACTACATACCGAATGTTGCACCGGTTGATTTCTATGTCTCTCACGCATCACAAGAATAGTGAGAGAGTGCCTTCGATGGACCTGTATTTCCTATGGGCACTAGTTACTCCAGGGAGGCACCTGAACCTTCCAGTTGCTTTAGCTGCATACTTGGGACGGAGGGCCAGGGGACTTTCGGGGAGATAGCCCGATATGCGGAGGGCATTTTATCACACGATTAGCTCGATCATATCAGTTGATGACACGTGAGATCACGAGATCGATGGTGTTTCACGACATGAGGCCGATGAGTCTTCAGCTATTGGAGTCGATGCGCGTATTAGAGCGGGGCGGAGATGGTGTGTTTTGAGGTTCGAGCAGATGATGTGGCGGATGAGAGAGGGTGCGCCGAGCCACAGCCGAGACGGGTCCCGTGGCGTAGACCTGCTCCTCGGGGAGCGCAGCAGGGACCTGAGCCGGAGATTGATATGCGCTATTTAGCTCAGGGCATTGATCGTCTTGACTTTGAGGGTCCAGAACCTTAGCGAGTATGTTGCACATGTGGACGCGCAACAGCGGTGGCAAGGGAATGCTTGAATGCATTCTTTGCCCATCAGGGATTTCAGTATTCGGTTTCCTTTCCACCACCATTCCAGTCACGATTTGACGGGCCGGTACTTCGGGACACAGCCACATGATGATGGAGATGACGAGTGATCCTTTTATTTTGTTTATTTGTTGTTTTGTGTTAATTTTAGTTTAGTTTAGTTTTTAGTATTTGGTATGTAATTAAACTTTGATTTAGTTTGTTTTACTTTTGTTTTCCATGTTGATGCTCTATGGTTTTAATTTATGCAGAATATTCGCCCTTAGGAAGCTGGCAGTAAGTTCAGCAGCTAGGTCCGACTGTTGCTAGAGAGTCAGTGAGAGTTCGAAGGTTACAATTCAAGACCACAATTTGTCATAAGTGTGGGGTGCATATTTATTAGAGTTGTATTTCGACGCGAGGAAGAAGTATCATCCCGGCTGCCACGACATGGTTGACACTTCTATGTGTGGGGATTTTTCATCGCGAGAAGAGAATGTCATTCTTGACGAGACGACGTGGTCGACACTTTCCCACGTCATGGTTATTATACATTGCATCTAATTGCAATATTTTGTACCACATTTTCGAAGATGGCGGTCTTGATTTTATTTTTCGGCAAATTTAGAAGCAGCAGTTCCAGTTTCAGTTTTTCAGCAGTATTTGAAGCAACCTGTAGCAGCCCCATTCGATCTCGCCACAACTACCCAGGGGAGTCTGTTCCTTTTTCTCCCTTTTTATGTTCTTAATTTGTTTTAGCATACAATGAGGGCATTGTATGAAATAAGTGTGGGGTAGGGGGTCGGTAAAAGAGTAAATTATAAAAATGAAATAATAGTTGGAAATTGCTAGATTTAGGGAAATTTAAAAATTTAAAACAAAACTTGAAATAATAGTTTAATTTAGAAAAATCTAGTGATAATTTAAAATTTTGCTAATATTGTATGAGATGATCCGATGAGAACTCAAATGTTTAGTTGAGCCAATATACGTTATAGTGCATTTGTGGCTTCCCTTTATTTTAGTGAAATCATGGAACAAAAACATAACCCCGCTCGGTTTGAAGGATGCAATATGTTTAGCAGCCTAAACCTGAAATGTATCCAGGAAAATTATTATCATTAACCAATAAAGGTTGAGGTTGAGCGCCTCTGCTTAAGCATGTAGGTTTTGAGTGAAAAAAGAGAGGTACATGTAAAAAAAAAAGAGAGAGAATTACGAAAAAAAAAGTTTGAAGAATTTTGGAGCAAATAAAGTGAAGATCAAAAGATCAAAATTCTGAAGAAATCCAAAAAGTTGAAGATACCAAGAAATCAAAGATCAAATTGTTCAGAGAAATGAAGAATTCAAAGAAAGCTCCATAGTGGTATCATAAATTGTAATTCTAGATTATGTATGCTTAGGTTGCTCAACTAAAAATACCTTGAGGTTAGGAGGTTTTCTGAGGATGGATTCGGAGGGTTGCATAAAATGAGCATTGTTCGGAAAAAGTGGGCAAGTGTTTATGAAGATTGTGAGTATTTAAAGTATGGGGGGTACTTAGGAAAATTTTAGACACAAATGCATGCGTTGAGGTCTTGGCATAATGGCTGAGTTTTAAATGGATTGTTTAGTGCGATATTGGTAAAATAAAAGTAAATTTGCTTGGGGGCAAGCAAAGGCTAAGTGTGGGGTATTTTGATATGTGTATTTGTAGACATATTTTTATGCACTTTATCTTAATATTTTGGCCTTATTTATTCTATTTTAGAACTAAAGAGTACTCATAATACTTTGAATTATGTTTTGCAGCTATTTGTTGTCAATAAAGCACAAGAGAAAAGACTGAAGCGGAAATTGGGCTTAGAAGCTAAAAGAAAGAAAAGGGGGCTGAGGTCGCGGTTACGCCCTGCGTACCTTAAGGTTACGCCCCGCGTACCTGCTTGCACCGGATATACATGATCGCGTGATTATCCATAGTACGCGCCGCGTAATCCTAGTACGCCCAGCGTACTTAGGTCGGCCACAAAGATTATAAATGTCGATTTTTAGCTAACCAGGAGGGGGGATTCGACTTCTAACCTAATTTAGTCGACAATTAACTTCTGTTAAGCCGTTTTGAGGGTCTAGAAGGCGGCCGGAAGGCCGTTAAGCTAACGGGAGCAGAGATCTGAAGGAGGAGAGCGGATACATGTCGGTAATCATATGGATTGCTAACGTGACCATGTTTAGCACTTCCTTATGGTACTTTTTGTATTTAGTTTCTGATTTGGGTGTAAAAACCTTTTACTTTGTGTTTATGATTGAATGAAGTTTTGATTCTTAACTAATTGTTATGTTAAATAATTTATTTGTGTTTAATTTATCTTGCCAAGCTTGTTCAAAGATCCTCATGTGTTAATGATGATTATTTGCTGTTAATTGTTAAGTGAATTAAGTTGTATGAAAACCTGCTTGATTTGCTTGTCTCTTATGATTTTTGATGACCATTGAGATTATAAGACTAGAAATAACGAATGTGAAACTAGGATTAACATGGGAATAATAAGTTAATGTGTGAGCCTTGTTTGATGACCATCAACAAGAGGTTAATTAAATGTTTAAATTAACTAAGTTTACAAGTCTTGCTTGATACGAACTGAACACTAGGAAGCATGTTAGTTTAATCAATTGATCACTGTTTGAATTAACTTGTTTGCTAAAGGATTAGTTATAGTGAACATGAATCTAATCAATTTAGGAATCGGTGAACATGAATAAATGAATTAGTGTATGCAATTGTTTATGTTTTCAAGGTGGAATTTGTCTAAACCAAAGTACCTAAAGAGATTTGTTTTTCCTGTTAGTTTATCGAGAATGGTTAATTAATTATTAGTTTGAGATTTATTAAATTATTCTTTTCGTGTGACATCTAACCTATAATTAAATATATTAAATTAATCCACCGTTCCCTGTGATCGACACCCGACTTACCTAAGCTATATACTGTAATCTGACTAGGTACACTGCCTATAAGTGCATAGTTAGTCTAAGTTTGTTCGGTTATAAATATTAAAATTAATGGGTACTTTCGTGCACATTAGCATGGCATGGACTCGCCGAGTCCAATGAGCAGACTCGGCGAGTAGCTTGAAGATTGACTGGGACTCGTCGAGTTGTTCTTCAGACTCGGCGAGTGGAGTCGGGGTGGCCTCGCGATTCTTCCAGGAGTAACTCGTCGGGTCAAGGAGGATACTCGATGAGTAGAAGGGAAAACTTAGAGGATTGGAGGACGACTAGACTCGTCGAGTCGCCAGAGCACTCGCCGAGTCCGGTCGAGTTGGCCATGGATTGTTGACCAGAGTTGACCTGTGCGTGATTTCTTAAGGTCAGTTATCGTGGAAGAGAAAAGTACTAATAAGAGATATATGATGTTATAGGGAGCTTGTAGCTCGGCGGATCAAGTGCAAGAGATTTCAGGAGTTGCTAACTTCCAGTATCCACGAGGTGAGTCTTCTCACTATACTGTACCCGGAAGGGTTTGTCTGTGTGACCGGAAGGTCGGACGTGATATGTGTTATACGTGCCATAAATGGTAAGGTAGTTGCTATGCGTGTTATGTATGTTATATGGGCCGGAAGGCAATATGTTATGTGATTGGAAGGTCGGATATGGAATATGATATATGTGCTATATGTGGTAAGTTAACGGTATCATGTGCTATGTATGTTTAGGGGCCGGAAGGCGATATGTTATGGGTCGGAAGGCAATACGTTATGTGACCGAAAGGTCGGATATGTTATGTGTTATATGTGTTATATGTGTAAGATTAATTGTTATGCATGCTGTGTATGTTTATATGGGCCGGAAGGCAATATATTATGGGCCGGAAGGCAAGGTGCTATGGGCCGGAAGGCAATACGTTATGGGCCGGAAGGCGATTATCTCATGGGCCGGAAGGCATTGTGCAGTGGACCGGAAGGTCAGGGCCTGGAAAGGCGTATGTTCGTAAGGTGTATATTAGGGAACTCACTAAGCTTCGTGCTTACGGTGTTTTACGTTATGTTGTTTCAGGTTCTTTCAGTAACGCGGGATGGCACCGGCTCGATTGTACACACCAAAGAAAGAGTTGTATTTTGGAGGATCCTGGTTTTCTATTCAAGTGAAAATGGAACTATGTTTTGTAATTCAAATAAGAATAAGATTTTAAACAAGTGTTTTAATATTAAATTGATTATTTAAATGAAAATTTTTCCTTGAAAATCACGGTGTTACAGAATGATATTTTTCTATATATCAAAACTGATTACAAGAGGAACATATATAGGAAACAATACAACAACTAATCCAAGGAATTAGGAGCAAACCATGAAAGGGATAATCTCAACCTATACACTTTCTATGGA